CCTTTACTTTTTTCCCCCCAGGTTAGACACTGTTTAGGGCCTTCTGTAACAAAAGGACTCTCTGAATGGAAGGTCTTAAAATACAAGGTATTCATACTTATTTATTTCTAAAAACTCAAATAAAAACCAGATATGACTAATGAAGGTGCCAGATGCCAGTATTTATCATCACGATTATAATCCTACTCCCACCAATAAATCTGCTGATCAATACAGGAAGGAGTAAAGGCTATAGAACATTTTTCTAGAGAATAATTTCTGTGCTCTTGTACCAAAATCACAGAGAGCTTTAAGACATGCCAATGTTATCTCATTTATCAATTACTAATTTAAGTTTCTGGGCATTCTGTAACATGGCTTTAGCAGAGCAAAGATAACCTTCAGAGATTCATCAAGAGTTGTAGTTCTGGGATCTCAATAATAACTATGCTCTACCTCCTCCAGCAGTTTTAGAGGTTCACAAGTCACAGTAAATTGTTTTACATGCCAATGGTTACCACACTCTATTCTACAGCATACCTTCCTGCTTGTTAGATATAGCCTCTATATATCTAGCCATTATCAACAAATAGGCCAGCTAGGAAAACAGCCAAAAAAATCCTTAGGCTGAAAGGTAGGCAAGCATTCTGGTATAGCACTTAATAAATTATTCGGGAACAATATAAATAATAAACTAAGAGTAAAATTCACCAGAGAGCTAGTAATGTAATTAAATTTGTGACATCTTTTAATAACATCTTCTACAACTCAAAGTAGAAGAGAACACAGGTTGAGTTGGATCTGCTGATTACATTCTCAATCCATATCCCTCTTTTCTACTCTCATCCATTTTCATTCCTCAATACAGACCCCATCCATTCCTATATCCTTCCAACATCAGATACTGATGATATTCAATTATAGTTACTCTCTGGTCTACATTTCATTCTAAGGAATGTTTAAAGTGTGATGTTTCCTGACTGAACAACAGGAAGTAATAACGAAACTCTGTGTAAACACTTAAGAATGAGTTGGACTAGCTGGTATTGGAAAATCAGTTCTGTTCAATAGGCTATCCTCTTCAGTCTCACAAAGGTCATTATCAGGCATAGGATAATTTGTCTATACTTCTCAGACAAACTGTCAGAAACAAAAGACTCACTGTTCAGTATTAAAAAGGCTCTCTAGAATAGCTCAAACAAAACCCCTCTGGTGAGGAAAGAGAACATAAATGCTAGCTAGATTTAAGACACAACTAGACTGGCGTCCTGATTCTGCCTTTCCTAAAGGTGTTAAGTACTAAGCTTTAATTTCATTAACAGTAATGAGAATCACAGGGAAATAACTTTTTCCTTTCCAAGCAAAGGTTAAGCAAAGTCACTATAAGGAAAGAAAGAGAGAGCAGTTCTACTATTTTAAACTAATGGATTTAATTTATAGTAAGGAATTTAAATGTTGGATAAAAATTAAATGGATAGTATGAATTAAGAAAATAAAAAGAACTAAGTAATTTGTAACATGCCTTCAAATCCATTCAATATTTTGTTATTTATGTTTAACTGGCAAGTATGTCACTATTCACTTATACTTTCTAGATAAGCTAAGCAGTCATTTATTCTTTAACTCAAAGGGTATAAGACTGAGTTACAACCTATCCCATACTTTTCTACTAAACGTGTACTTTAGCATATAGTAGCCAGCTGTGCATCTCAGCTGCTATGGCTGGGTGATATAGGAAGAAGCAATCTTTGTGTTTACACACTTGGTACAATGAACAACAAGGTGTGCACACATGTGCAAAAGTGTCAAACTGGGATTTTTACCCACATAATGCTCCAGCAAACGAGTTTTCTTTATGTTTACCTGAGCATCACAGGGATAAAATACACCCAGGCTACTCTTGTTATGAAAACATGTATTTTATCATAAAAGAATGTGGGTGTGACTCACAGTAGCTGTACCAGGGGAAAGAAAACCCCCATCTGTGCATTTATCCACTTGGCAGACAAATGGCAAGGTGTGTACAAGAGCTCCAAAGCAAGAACAGTTGAGTTTAACCCATGAAATGCTCACTGCTAAATTTCTGTGCATTTAGGATGTTTAAAAAAAAAAAGTTTCCTTTTGATTTTTCTGGTAGAAGTAGCCCGATTCAGAACAATGGCACATGAAAAACCAGATTTGCAAGTTTTGCAGGAAGTCAAAAGTGAATCATTGTATTACTCATGCTTGGATGATGAAGATGATAATGACTTTGATGTTGGCCATGTGAGCCAAAGTATCTGTGACAGTGAAATGGAGCAAGAATCAACTGATACAGACACAGGAAATGCAGACCTCCTTGACTGAGATGACGTTGAGTGCATATCTGACTAGTCAAAATGTTGCAATGGCCATGCAAACAAATGGAACAATCCAATCTTAATACTAAGTCCAGGCCGGGGATTTAGCTCAGTGGTTTGGTGGCCTATTGGACAGAATGCCAGCACTGTCATTCAATGTTGGAAACTGTAACAGATGAAATGCTACAAGATGTTGTGAAATACACAAAGGCTGAAATACAAGTAAAATGTTCTTTAGCCATTTAAAAAATGTTATTTTTAGAATTAAAAATATTTTTAAAATGTTATTTATTATGACACCTCACTAGCTGAACTGAAAGCATTCAGAAGCCTGCTGTACTTAGCAGAGATTTCTCATGGTAACCACAGGAATGTAAAAGACATCAAAAAGCAATGGGTCAAAATACAGCATAAAAATGTATGTTCTTGTAGATATGAAGAATTATGCTTTCAACTTAGAAATTTATTCTGGAATTCAGCCACCAGGTCCTTATTCATATAATAATAAACCAAATGTTGTGAACAGACTTGTTGCTCCCATTTCCCAACCTAATCTGAATGTAACATTTGACATTAGTTTACCCATTTCCAATCAATGTTACATCTAACAGAGCACAAGTTGACCAGTGCAGGAACTGTGCACAGGAACAAAGCAGAAATACCAAATGAAATGTTGCAGTTTCAAAAACAGATTAATTGTACAATACAATCTTTGGATTTCAGAAAGATTTATAATGGTCTCCTATATGGCAAAGATAAACAAATTAGTACTGTACTGCTAATGTCAACATTGCACCATGATGGAAATACTGATAGGGAAACCTCAAAATAATGGAAGCCTAAGGTGGAAACTTTCTACAACAAACCCAAAGGCGGAGTAGAAGTTGATTATCCAGCAACTATGTCATTCAAAACACAAAGCACTGGCCAATGGTTGTGCTTTACTCGATCCTAAACATGGGTGACATAAATAGTTTAATAGTTCACAAAGAAAATAACCAAGGGCAAAATACCATGGAGAAATTTTCTGAGAGGACTGGGACTGGAACTCATAAGTGATCATTTATGGCACAGGGAAAACAAAATGTTTCTGCCCAGGGAACTATGCAAAAAAACTGTGGAGCACACTGGTGAGCTGACAGGTGAACAGGCTGGCACAGCATCACAAAGACCTAGAACAACATGAAAACCAAAAAGATGCAAACTGTGCCCTATGAGAAAGGACAGGAAAACAAAACATATGTGCTATCTTTGTAAGCAATACTTGAATATGGAGCACGCAGTTTTCATGTGTGAAGACTGCTTTGAGTGTGACAGTTGAAGCAAAGGTTATTTCTCTGGAAGACCTTTGTTTGTATTTACATTGTAGCTCACAAAGATTTTTATTTCTGATGTTATCTTTTAGGCTTTGTAAGCAAGTATACAGCTGATGTGAAAATGTTGATGTTTATTCTAAACAATACATATTAAAAATTTAATACTTTATTTTATTGACATTTTATGTTCCTGTTAACTACATATTGTGTAATATAATGAGAACCTACTGATAAAACAGCAAGACTAATGAGATGTCAAGTATGTTCTACAAAAAGGCTAGGAAAGCAAAATATGTGCTGTCAGTATAAGCTGTATGTGTATGTGTATGTGTGTGTGTGTGTGTGTGTGTGTGTGTGTGTATGTCACGTGTGAAGACTTCTTTGGGTGTGATAATCGAAGTTTTTTATATACAGTCTTATTGGTATTTTTATTGTAATACATATAGGCATTTTTTTCTGTTATCTTGTAGACTCTGTACACCAAAAAACAGTTGATGTTAAAACTTTTGATGCTTTCATATGAACACTCAATATTAAAAATTCAATACTTTATTTCTTATATTTTCGTGTTAAGTACTCACTGCTTAATATAAAACTCATAAAATTAAAATTAATTCAATTGAAATATTCTAAATAATAAACATGGGTATAATACACCCGTTTCTGCACCTTTATGACAAAATTTATGTTACGCCCCTTAATATAAATTCCTTAAAAAATAGCCATACTGTCTTCTATCCATCCCTTCTCTACCTCCTTCCCTCTATAGCAGGTGTATTTAATTTATGGACTGTGTTTGCCTTTACAATAAAAAAAATTTAAAGGAATTTTTATGACTTATATACATTAACTGTGTTATATATTTTATATGTGGCCCAAGACAATTCCTCTCTACTCAAAAGAAAAAGGGCAAAAAACCCAGCAAGGGGGGAAAAAAGAACAGCAGGCTATTAAGGTGCACTTGCCTGCTCTACACTTTTTAACAACATACCAACATCCACTAAAAAAAAGTTAATATGAATAAGTTATAAATTATCCTCCTTTCCAAAAATAGGTTCATGTGAAACATATCTTGGCAATATAGAAAAAGCCTTCTAAAGAAGTTTCCCTGTGTATTTCCTCAACAGATAGCCAGAATCCATTAAGTTCATTTTTAAGCTATTCAGTAAATTTCTCAGGTCTTGGCTATTACAGTTCAATTCTATATGTTTTACCTTAAATATATATTCCTTTCTCAATCTACAATTAGGTTATTGCAGGAACCATTAAGATTAGTATGAGTGATATGAACATAACAAAAAAAGTCTATCACAATTACCTCCAAATTTATACTGTCTAAAAACCAAGCAATTTCAAGTAAACATACCTCTTGTAGAAGATGTGGATCTACACAGTCACCATCGTCATTAAACATAGATTCCCAGCTCTCCTCCACAGCAGTACTTTCTGCTATGTGAGAAGTTTCAGCTGATTTTAGTTCCACAGATGTTTCCATAGATGATGCTCTAACAGGAAATGATACACCAAATTCTATATTCTCTGAGTCATCTTGTTCTTTTGTTGTGAACTCTTTAGCAGTTCTTAGTTCATGTAATGCCTGTGATATATCACCAGTAATATCTAGATCACTGCCCAAGGCATTCTCTGAAAGTTTTGTCCCATTTGACATATGTAGTTCGGAGTCGGAAAAACTATTATAATTACTGCAAGCAATCTTCTTTATAGGAAAGAAGGAAGCACAAGCTGTCATGCTCTTTATCAACTTTCCTGTTGACTCTGTAAAACTAGATGAAATACTTTCTGTGTAAGTATCTGAGCAAGCAGTCAGGTTGCTGAAATTTTCATTCTCACTTCTAACCACATGAAGAGGAGCTTTATCTGCATTCATTTCTATGTATTTTGAGAATCTACTTGTATCGCTACAAGTATCAGCTGGTCGAACTACACAAGGGCTACTTACAGCTAAATGATTGTATGTGGCACCTGTAATGTCCATCATACATGCCTTAGTAATAATGTCATCTACACTCTTAGATCCATCATCTGCTTCATGAGCAAGGACAGCTGTATCGGGTTCACACTTTCCACATAACTCATGAGCAGTGCTGTCATTCTCCTCACATCCTCTAATCACTGTTAGATCAATAATGCCATTTGTGTGCTCTAATTTGCTGACCGTAGTCATTTTATGAGAGATGTGACCCACAGTCTCAGGAATGGAATCTGTACCTTTCTGATCCAGGATGAAACTTGTACTGTTGGCTACATCACCTACATTCTCAACTTCAAAATCTACACAAATCTGATCAATGACAGTATCTGGACTTCCAGAAACAGAAATAGCAGTGAAGCTTTCATTGCTGAGCTTCAATGTTCCATCTGGTATTTGCACACTTTGCTGTGTAACTTCAGAATCCAAGCATAGTTCTGCACTCTCAGGTTTTAATACAGCAGTAAAATCTCTGGGAAACTGGGTTATTATCTCCACAACTTTGGTACCAGTTTCAATTTTGCTTCCCAAATCTTTGTCTTCAAAATTTTCCCCACTTAGTTCATGTCTACTGAAATCACAGAATTCTACATTCTGAAATGGTCTGCTTAGAGCCTGATTAGCCTCACTAATTTTTGAACAAGACTGTGACAGAAGTATTCCTTCATATCCTGTCACATCTGTAGTGTGAACCTCTAAACTTTCCATTGTCTTTGGTTTAAAATATCTTTGTAAAGGTGCTCTAGGCATAACCACAGCATTTGGGACTCTTTGCTGATGTTCTTGGGATAATACTTTGGATACTGTGTGTCCTCTCTTAGTACAAACCCTGTCTTTATTCCTTTTATGAAGGCATGTGTCTTCTCTTAATTTTGTTGAAGATTTCTTCCCTTCTCTACAATTAGGCTCCTTCTTACCAGGATTAATATTTAGTCTCTGAGCCTCAAGTTTTTCTTCAAAGATCAGCTTTTGGGAATGACAACCTTCTTTTTGTTGTTCTTTCATCACAGAGTTAGGCAGACCACAGATTTTTTCCTTATCACTGGTCTTGGGAAGTACTGTACCCCTCCGAGCTTTAGGTACATAAAGTGCCATGTCAGGCCTTTTGGCTCGACCTCTGCATCTCTCCACTTCTTCCTGCATGGCATCACCTTAATCTGAAAGAAAGAGAGAGAGTGACTTAATTAACAAAAACTAATTATTGTGTATTGAACCGAGAGATTTTTAAAGATTAGGTAAAGGGCCTACTAATCCCTCCTATAGAAATTTATGAATTAAAAAAAAAAAAAGTAAAACCAGCCATAAAATGATCAATGCAATTAAGTGTGCAACTAAGAAAAGTAAAATCTAAGAAAGATAATATCACAAATTTTATCAAAATATCCTGTTTCATCATATTTCCCTAAACATTAATCTCTGCCTTCCAAATCTTTTCTACTTATATATAATAAGCAGCTTTCTCTTAGGCTAAACTAAAAAAAAATTATGTGAGCTAGTTATGTAGTACTCATAAAATAAAACATACCCATCTCCATATTCTGGAAACATAGGTATTTTACTTTGAAGACTACAATGAATACCCCAAAATGTCATATTTAGACAACATAAATACACATAGAAAAGATTCTTATAATGAGAAAATATTTCCTAGAAGTGATTACTGGGGGTGGGGAAAGTACTGGAGAATGAATCCACGGGCTTTGCACTGAGCTACAACCCCCCCACACACACACACCTTATTTTGAGACAATGTCTCATTAAGTCACTAAGATGCCCAGGCTGGGCACTAATCTGCACTCCTCCTACCTCAGCCCATCAGAGTACTGGGATTATACAAGTATATACCACCATGCCCAAGCTAAAAGACTGCTTTAGATTTATGACTTTGTAGAAAGAAAAAGGTAATTGAAAAGAGAAAGGCATTCAATTACCCTGATCTGATCACTATACATACATGTACATCTATGAATATATATACATACATATGTACTGAAATGTCACACTATACCCACCCCACAAGTATGGAAAATTCCTTTGTGTCAATTAAAAGTAAACACTTAATTTTTTTTAAAGAAGGGACACAATTCTCTTACAAGTTAAGCACCCTGTGCAGCCATTCCACAAACAACTGCCTCATGACCCCAAGCTTTCACACTGGCCCTCTACATGACAGGTAGTCTGGCCTCATTGACATTCTGTTCCTTGAATGCACAAGGGGTCTGAGAATGGTTCATCAGTAGTAACTTAATCTTCAGATTGGCCTTGTGTTCACACAGAGCAAAAGGGTCAATCTGTCCCTTCATGGGCTTGCTCCCTGACAGTGCCTTTTCCTCCTGCATGATATTGGTTCTGTTCAGCATCTTCTTCCAGAAGAACCCTGGTTTCACTGCAGTTAAATACTTGTTGAGCAATTTATCCTTTTGCCTTCACAAATTCTGCAAATTATTTTTTGTAGGGTTCTGAAGTGGCTTTGTCAGAACTGGAAGCCTCACCATGTCTTATCACTCTATGGATGCCACTCCTCTTGTGGAATTTATCAAACCACCCTCTACTGGCTTTAAATTCATCGCTTATTGCAATTGTAGAGGGATTTTCTTGCAGTAAATCACTCTGCAATCTCCTGGCTTTTTCACAGATCATAGTTTTACTAAAGCTATCACCTGCCATCTGTTTCTCATTCATCCACACTTATAAAGGCTTTTCATCTCTTCTAGCACTCCTGTCCTCTACTTGGTTAACTCCTTTTGTCACATAAGCTCCTTTGGTGACTTGAGATTGTTGACTTTTCCATCTTGTACTTCGAGGCCAGATCAGTCACATGAATGCCACACTCATGCTTTTCTACAATTTCCTTCAATTCGATGGTTATTTTCTTCCAAATCTTCTTACAATTCTTGCTCTGCACTTGTTACCATCATTATTGCTTTGCATATTCTTGTCACCTTCATTACTGCCCTGGATGTTCTTGTCACCTTTATTACGCTTTGCACTCTGTTTTTACCACCACGCTTGCTCTGTACTTTCTCTGGAGCCATGCTGGACTGAATAATATGGTATAGTACTGTATGTGCTTAAAAAGCACACAAAAAAAGCTTCATAGCAAGTGTGCACAGGTCTGTCTGCAATCGCAATCTTGATTAGAGGAAGCTACAACCATGAGCCAAAGAACGGAAGACAGCCAAAGTCATGTTCATCATCCAATGCAGAATTCATAAATGGAAACATAATTTTGCTGAATGCTTCTGTTCGCAATCTGTATTGTTCATGAACAAAAGCATTCATGAACTGAGATATTACTGTATTGGCTGATATTTTTGTTTATGCCAACAATGTCTTTGCTAAATTAGATAATTTCTGGGTAATGAAAGAATATGTCCTTGTTTTTTGAGCTATTCACAATATACACCTAAAGGTATGACATTTACATTAGCAGCATTTTATTCAACACTTAAATAATATATTGAACGCTAACCGAATAGCATTTGCCCAATTTATGTACTGTAAATATTCTTACCGTGGCTAATTTCAAATTATCAATGTGGTATCACTGAACATGCAGGTGGGGAAAATGCACACCATTAAAGAGAATTTTAACACAGAGATATAAGACACATAATTCAAGAACACAGATGATAACAAAATGTAGAAGTGATGAATGTTAAGCATTATTTTTAAATGTAAAGTGTTTAACAGTAGCCTATGTAACTTAACGTTTAATAATGGCTGTTTAACAATCTGTATGCAAAACTCCTAAAATTTTTATAAATGGCTTTCAGGCCAGTAGAAGATGCTCCAATACACTCCTGGCTGCAGCCATGTTTTTCACAATAACTCAAACACAAAAAAGGAGGAGTATATTTTGTGGACTTTACATATACTTGTCAATTTAAAGCTCTGTTCAATTTTTATGAATTTCTGTTCCAACTGCAGGTATGAAATGCCTTTAACATTGAAAGTAAAAATGCTTGCCATACCCACACAAAAAAGTATCTTGGATTAAAAATGTCTTATCCAGGTATTTACTAAAAGCATTTTCTTTTTTTCTCTCTCTCTAATAGTTTTAAATTTTCCACAATGTTGTAAGTGCTTTCATGAGTCTAATTTGCTTCTTAACTGCAGAAGACTCAGTCACTGGGCATTTTCCAACTAGTTTATCCAGGAAAGACTATTAGCATACAATTCTGTTCAAAATCATTTTTTCTTTTCCTCCCTTCCTTCTTTTTTTTCTTTTCATGGGAGGGTTGAGTCACACAAAAATCACAATTAACTAGAAAATTAAAAATTCAGACTTCTATGGTGGAGAGTACTCAATTATTAACATATGCCTTTTAAACATTTCTTTCTGTATTATACTTTCAAACACTGGGCTCATATCTGAGCACTTTTCTTACTCCTTCTATGGTTTCAAAGTCCTCTTGAGAGAAAAATAGTAGTAGCTTCTTTTAAGCATCTCTCTGAAACATCTTCATGAGAGTGAATGAGCATAAATAATTCAATACTTTACATTTTCACAAGAATGTTTTCACAACAGAATGTCCTGTATTTAGCATTTCAACATGCATCCCTTTTCAATCAACAACAGAATTTTGGCACTTTAGACATTCAATGGATAATTCAACTATGAATTGATTTGACTTAGGGCATCTGATATGTGAAAGAAACTAATAGATATGTTAAACTATTCACTGCTTCTAGAACAAATTCTCTAAGATCAATGTGTTAGTTCACATAAATGTATCTTAACTAAACCATACATATTCTCTCAACTTTTTATTGGAAATAATTAAAAATCTATCCACAAAGTTTTTTTTTGGGGGGGGGGGGTACCGGGGATTGAACTCTGGTCCTTGCGCTTGCAAGACAGGCCACCAAACTGCTGAGCTAAATCCCCGGCCCTACCCACAAGTTTTAAAAGAAATATTATAAAATGTCTCTCTCACATCCCAAACTAATTATTTTCCTGAACTCTTTGATGGCAAATTATACACATTGTGGCCCTTCTATATACTTCATAGCTGTTCTATATACTCAGAGTATACTTACCCTCAGTAGGAACATTCTATTACATAACCACAACACAATTAATCGAGGTCAACAAATTTAACAACAATAGAGTGTTAATACATCTAATGCAGACATTCCAATTTTGTTAGTTGAATCCAGTCATGTCCTTTATAGCGTATTTCCCTCTCCAATGCAGGATCCAGTTTAGGGTCAAATATTGCATTGGTTTCCATGTCTCTTTCACCTCTTACATGCTGAAACATATTCATAATATGGATATTCTATTAGTGTTTTATGCTACCGATACTTTAGAAATGTAGCTCTACTCCTCATTATTTTTTTGTTTTATTTTGGTGGTGCTGGGGATCAAACCCAGGACTTTGAACATGATAGACAAATGCTCTCCCACTAAGCTACACCATCAGTCCTCCTCCTCATACTTTTAAGGAGAACAATCATTAAGTTTGTCTTATGGCTTCCCATGATTACACTGAGGTTATACATTCTCAACTATTACATTACAAAAATGGTGATATATCTTCAGGGAATCATATTTGAAGACACATGACTGCCAATTCTTCAATGTTGCTCTTAACTTTGATTACACAATCAAGGTATTGTCCAACTTCTCTGTTTACCCCTTTTTCCCCTTCATTAAAAAAAAAAGCAATCCGTGCAATGGTACTTTAAAAGCATGCAAATAATCCTGCTTCTTCATCAAGACTTTTCCCTCAATGTAGCTAAGTGTTTAATACTAACTCTGATGGTTATTTTATTCAGTCTTTAGTATGGCTGCAAAATCATGATTTTCCAACTCTAACAGTCCTTCTCCTCAGTGTTTTTCTGAAAACAAAAATAAACCACATATCATTGCTCACAACAGTTGCTAAGATTCTCTAAGTTAAAATGTTCAGCTCTCATGGTGGTAACTATAGGAAATGCCTATCTGGAAAATATTTTCTAACTTTTTCAAACTCGAAAAATTGAATGCTACTATATCCAAGCCCATTTTTGGTACCGGGGATCGAACTCAGGACTTCGTGCTTACGAGTTAGGTGTTGAAACCTCTGAGCTAAATCCCTGGCCTCTTTTCTTTCTTTTTTTCGGGGTGAGGTTGAGATAGAGTCTTACTATATATTCAGACTGGCCTCAA